CTCCTGCCGAGTGGCTGGTGGGTTCGAACCCCCGACCTTTCTGTTAGTAGCCAAACACTTAACCCCTGCGCCACCAGGGCTGCTCTTCTTTCTGAAAACCCTGGCGATCAGCAGAAACTGGTCAGGGCAGCCCGTGCCCACACTGCCACCAGCTGCCATCCCCGCCGCCTGTGTTAGCCCACCTGCCACAGCCCCAGGAAGGTGGTGCAGTGGCATCCCCGAGTGACCGATCCGGAGCCTGGCCCAGCGGTATGACCCTGGGTCCCCACCCGCTGCCTGCCCCCCAGCACTCGCACGTGGAGTTGTCGCGGTGAATCCTGGCTCCGCGGTCTGTCACCAGGCTATGTCCCCCAGAGCCCTCGCACCTGTCTTCCCCTCTCCCTCCGCCCTGGTCCTTTGTGGCTCCCTGGGAGGGACCATGTGAAGCTTCTGGTCTCCAGGAGGGGCAGCAGCCGAGCAGGGAGCCTGGGCCAAACCGGCCGAGGGGGTGGGGCCGCGCAGGGTCCATGCCGGGGCCCGCAGTTCATGGCCCCTGCTGCAGCTGGCCGGACAGGCCCGGGGTCCCGGGCTGACTGGCCCCTCTCTTGTCCTCTCCCTCGCAGGGCCGCGCCTCCCCAGAGCCTCAGCCGTGGGCTCACCGGCCTAGGCGTCCATGACGCCCACGCTGACTGCTGCCTGGCGCCGCGAGCTTGCGCCGCCGCCGGGCCCCAATGCCGGTCATCCCCATCCCGCGGCGGGTGCGCTCCTTCCACGGCCCGCACACCACCTGCCTGCACGCGGCCTGCGGGCCGGTCCGCGCCTCGCACCTGGTGCGCACCAAGTACAACAACTTCGACGTGTACCTGAAGACGCGCTGGCTGTACGGCTTCATCCGTTTCCTGCTCTACTTCAGCTGCAGCCTGTTCACGGCGGCGCTGTGGGGCGCCCTGGCCGCGCTCTTCTGCCTGCAGTACGTGGGCGTGCGCGCGCTGCTGCGCTTCCAGCTCAAGCTGTCGCTGCTGCTGCTGCTGCTGGGCCGCCGGCGCGTCGACTTCCGCCTGCTCAACCAGCTGCTCATCCACGGCATCCACGTCACCGTGCTGCTGGTCGGTGGCCTGGGCTGGTGCTTCATGGTCTTCGTGGACATGTGAGGCGCACGCGCGGCCCGGCCACCTGCCCCCCCTGGTGGGGCCGGGTCCCTGGAAGCCGTTCTGCAGAGCGCTCCGCCTGAGGTCTGCGGGCCCCTAGCGGAGGCTGGCGGCACCGCAGCTTCACCCGCCTTTCACGCGCCTGCTGCGTGGGACCGAAAAGAAGGGCTGAGACTCGATTCTGCGGAGGGGCGCTGTCCCCTGGTCTTTCTGCTTGCCCCTCCCGCCCGGCACCTGCGGTTCGCGGCCCAGCTTGTTCCTATCGGCCTGGGCTGGGGTCAGCCTCCTCCCACCCCCTCCCCAGAACCCAATCCAGTGACTGTATCCATCCTCAGTGGTGTGGGAGACCCTTAGTCCTCAGACGGGGTGCCACCTCCGCCTTCTCCTGCCACACAGCCTGCTCTGTACTGCCTGGCTCCGCACTCGCCACTGCACTGCCACCGAGCCCTGCATCGCCCCTCCCCCCAGCGCCTTTCATCCCGGCCCAGTTCGTGCTCAGGACCCCTCTCGTCTGTCCCAGCACAGCCCTTGCTGCCTCCGGAGAGATCACCGAGTCAGAGTCAGGCCAGGCTTCAGCGTCACGGGTTTGCTTACTCCAGTGGGACCGCAGGTGGCCTTGGCAGGTTCCTGTCTCAGACACAAATCTGATGGTGCCCTCTAAAAGCTGTGGCCCCTGGCACTTGTAGGGTCCATGGGGCCACTGCAGGCCTGTCACCCTGGTGGGCCGTGAGTCTAGTTCAGGGGGCTTTTGGGAAGGGGCTGTGCTTCCTCTCTGGGCGGGTGCTTTATAGGGCATGCCACACCTGGAGCGGCTGGCATCTGTCTCCTCGGGCCTCTGGTTGTGACCTCGGACAGAGCCAGGCAGACTTATCCAGGGGTGGCACTCAGGAACCAGGTGCGAGGGCAGTTGGGTCTTTGTGAGTGAAGCACTGCCTGCCCTTTGGTGCTACCTCGGGGGCTGAGAAGGCACTGAGGTATGGAAGCAACTGCTAGTGTAGGGGCGGGAGTGGGAAGGGACCTCTGAGTAGTATCACTGGGACGACAGGCAGGGACCCAGGATATAAGAGGAGCGGGCAGTGCTGCTCTTATACCTGGCAGGTGGGTATGCCTGCCTCCCTAGTAGAACGTTGGCCTGGGTGAGCCATCCGGCCCCTCAGGCACCACTGGAAGCAAAACCTCCCAAATCCCAGATCAGGCAGAGAAGCAAGAACCCCGTGGCCTGGCAGCCGTGCCCTCAGCTCTGTGCCTGCTTCTGCTCCAAGTCGCCTGTGCCATCACACTGGCTCCCCCAGGAGAAGGAGGGAGTGGGTGGCCTGGGAGCCACTGCTGGGAGCCTCTGGCACGAAATCCTGCCATTTCCTGCAGACAAGTCATTTGCACCCATTACCTGGGTCACTCGGATTCACAACGCCCTTTGTCAGGGGGTGTTGGGGAGGGCATGGGGGGCCCAGGTGGCAGGGAGGGTCTGCATGGAAGCACTTGGGCAACAGCCCTTTCATGCTGACAGACACCGCGTCTGAGCGCCTGTGAGGTGCTCTGAACCGAGCCACCTGCATTAAACCTCGTTTCCTAGCATGTGAGTGGCGTGATTGCTTACAGCCCATGGTTGTCGATTCTGTTGTGGAATCTGCACACGGAACGCACGCTTGTTGCACAGGTTGTGCACAGTCTGGTGACGCTGATGACTTTCCAGTTAAGCCACCATCCAGCCTGTCTTCTCTGGGCTGCTCCTCCTGAGTGACATGAACTCACCCCTAAGCTTCCTGACTCTTGTCAGTTTCATTCCATGCTGACTCCTTTAAGAACATAATCAACTCAAAACAGATGTCATCCTCACTTGCTGACTTGGGGACATCTTTAAGTGCATGTTAGCCGGATGGTCCTGGGCTAGTGTTGGAGTTGCAGAGGGTGTTTCTGGCCCCAAGGCCACGGTGAGAGCCTTTTCTGTCGTAGGACTGTCAGAATTACAGGCCCATCACCAAGTGAGTCCCTTGGAGAGGCCTGGCGGCTGCCTTCACCAGTAAAGCATAGGGACATTCACTGACCATTTGCTGTCTAGAGGTGGGCAGCGCCCAGGATGCACTGCTGAACGGAAACGAGCCCTCAGTTTTGAGAAAAATGCACACATGCAGAAAAAACACTAGCACAGAAAAACTAGCCTGAGTCGCAGGCCTCGCTTGAAAGCTCTTTGAATGGCAGCCGCCTTACTGCTGTGCTAGGTGTCTGTTGTTCAGTGGAAACTGACAAGTCTTCCTGCTGGTAGATTTCTTCAGACATGATGGTGGTGACAACGGTCCTTCTAAGCAGCCCACAGCCAGAAAGTGTCACACGAGAGGAAACGGTTCCATGGACATGGCTGTAGTTCCTGGAATTAGTGTGACACCAGAAGGGAATGACATGGGTCACTGGGGTGTAGCCTGTGATGGTGAGAATTGCAACGTTTTTTCAAAGCCCTCCCCCCCATGTGCTCACTCATGGCTGAGCCACCTCACACACGAGGCCCCGAGGGTCTCAGTTCTTAGTACTGGGATGGAGCTGGGTGCAGGGCAGGAGTCCACTGTGCAGGTGGCCTTGAACCCAACGCTGCCTGGGTCAAACAGCCCACAGTGGCCATCACGCGCGCGGACGTGGGACCCACGTGTAAGTACACACGCATGTTGCACGTGTGTGCACATGCAGGCACACCCACGTGCACTCATGTTTGGTTACAGTTATGACTGTCCCCGAGGTGGGCTGAGAGCCGGCGCCCCCCCCCCCCCGCGGTCGGCAGCTGAGAAGCGCCCCCTGCCCTGCCTGAGTGGTGGCTGCGGGCCAGAATGGACAGGAAGGGCGGCCTGTGGCCCAGGGGGGCCTTCGGAAGAGCACCTCCACCCCGGAAAGGCTGGGACGCCTAGCGCAGCCCCCGCCGAGCCGGATCCCGGCGGCGCGGCGGGCGCGCGCCCACACTCTGGCTCCCTGACCTTGAGCGCGTCCGGTCCCTCCCAGCATGTGATTGGAGGAGGGGACGGCAGCGCTCAGAGCTGATTCAGCGTTTTCCGGGAGCGAAACTCGCTGCAATCGGCAGAGGAGCCGGGGGTTGGCCTGCCCCTCGGTCCGCTCCGCAGGGTCCCCCGCCCCGAGGAGCCGCCTGCGCCCCCGTGCGCGCGCCGTGCGCTCGAGCTGGGCCCGCAGCGGCCGCTCGGCGCTGCAGGAGCGGCTTTCCAGAAATCCCCCGGCAGGCTGGCAGCCGCGGCCGCAGTTCCCAAAACCGCCCGCCCCGCGCTCCCTGGCAGCTGATTCAGCGCCGGCCCATCCCCCGCCAGCTGGCCGCGCGCCCAGCCTGCTGCAGCTGCGTCCCTGGGCTGCCCGAGGAAGCCGCCCTGCGCCTGGGGGGTGGGGGGCCGCCCTGCGCCGGAGGGCTGAGGGGTGGGGGGCCGCCCTGTGCCCGAGGGCTGGGGTTGGGGGGCGGCGTGCACCCACCCTGCTGGACCGGCCCAGCGTGTGGTATTTGCAGCCTCCCACAGAAGTGTGGCCAAGGCCTGCGTGGGGCGCTGCCTGAGCCCCCGGGAAGCGGCATGCCCTAATCCGAGAGTGAGCAAGTACACTGAACGCCCGGGTTCCCCGGAGTCCCAGGTCATGCAGGTTCCTCCCCTCAGCTGTCCCACTACAGCCACCTGCCATCCTCACTGTGGTGGGGGGTACCGGTAGGGGCTCTGGGGTGAGCTGTGGTGGCTGAGACAAGCCTGGGCAGATCAGGTGGCTGGGGGGGCATCACCCCAGCTTGGGTTGCTTCTAACAGTGTGGCATGCAGAAGGGTGTTGCATGGACCACTGGACAGGCCAGACACCATGGAGGGTCTCTGGAAGGTGGTGGGGGCCAGGGGTGGGGAGGATGGGGGGAGCTGGGGCAAATCCACCCACACACGTGGAGCTGTGAGCACCGGTTTTGGTTGTCTGTGGGGGACCTCGTGCCAACATCACAGTGAAGGTCACAGCAGGGCCATGAGCATGGGGCCAGTATGTGGGATGAGTGGAGCTATGGGAGAGCAGCAGGCAGAAGGAATGGAGGGGTATCAGGCAGGAGGTCTGGGCTGAGCCCACCTGCTCAGTCCACCGGCTCTGCGTCCCCTCCCTTTCCTCCGAGGACAGCGTCCACAGCTTTGCTGTCCACACACATTTGCCGTCCCTCATTGAATTAGGGTGGCGCTCTGTTCCTCCCAGGATAGTAACACCAAGTCCAGGCTAAAACGCACATGAACGTTTGTGTAGAAACCAGGCCACCATGATGTCACATGCAGGGGTGGATGAGGGGAGCAGGTGGCCCTTGACCTGTGCCCACTGTGCTGGGGTGCTACACCTCCCTCCAGACCGGCCTGGGCTGCTCTGGACTGGCTGCAGCCAGCCCCAGGCCCAGAGCTGGGGCCCAGGAAGCTGGGGGAGGGGAGGAGTGTCAGAGGAGAGAGGTTCAGGGATGAGGGGTTTGTTCCCACCCTGCTGGGGTCTGGGGGCTGAGGCATTGTTGTCAAGAAAAAGGGCAGCCAGGCGTGCCGGTGGCCGGTGGCACCACTGTTCCTGGGGTCCCACCAGCATGGCTGCCGCAGCACAAAGTGGCATTGGCCTTGGCACTGGTCACCACGCCTATGTCTTGAAGGCCACCTTCCTCTACCCCAGTGCTGGCCTTTCCTCCTCTGCCTGTGATGAGAGCTCCAGGCCGAGAGCGGGGTGTCCACCTTCTCCAGGTGCCACTGGTCCTCTCTCTCTGCACATGCCCAGCCCTGTCCTTGCCGGCTCCCAGACCCTCTCTGCACAGTGGGACAGGCCTGTACCACTTCGTCTGGCTTTCCAAGACAGGGTCCCTGCCCTCCTCCTCCTGCCCGGTGCAGCCGCTTTGATGATGTAACTGGGTTGAAATGTGAATACGTTATTTATAAGAACACCATGACATAATGGTAACATGAATTATTTGTATGTTTTTCCAGTTGTATGGTCCGTTTTGCTGGCTGCTCTGAAGTTTGCACCCGTCTG